GGACATGCGAAATAAGATAAAATGATATTGGCAATGAACGTTGGACTCTAGCTTATACCCGCCATTCCCTTTAGACAGTGTGTGTCAGGTCCGTATCACAGGAGACGGGCTAGGGCAGGCAAACGCAAGAAATCATGAGGGAAAATATTGTTGCAGATAACATTTTACAGCAAATACGATCATTTTATGGGAGAACTAAACTTATGGTCATTAATTTGTGTGTCAGAATTTTTTATCCGTAATTATTTTCAGATTCTATACCAAGAGCAGATTGTGATGTAATTTACGCCATTCCAAATATCAATAGGAAGATGACTGTTCACGATTTTATAACCGAAATTTATCAATCTCCACAACAACTATCTTTATATAAAGATAAATTAGAGTGTTTCTACAGCCGAAGTTATGAATTCTTTGTAGGAAATGCCCTATATATACACACAAAAAATTTTCGGTAGATTCTGCCAAATTGTGGTTTCTGAAGACAAAGAGAACTTACAAAGATACGCACCTGACATAAATTCTTGGAAAGTATGCTATGAAAATGTATTACTTGAAGTAAAAATAAATTGTACAATAATCATAGACATACATGGAGTATTTTTTTCTTACCAACAATTTTCACCACAATTTTTATCGATAAAGTGATGTTGTGTTTATATATTGCATTGTATACGGGAAATTTTTGCTGCAGATTTTTTTTGTTTTCCTTTTTGGCCTTCTATAATGAGGGGAATATATCATTACATTGAATATACGTTAATAGCTTAATAAACGAAGAAATTAGATATGAACGGCGAAATTAACACAGGGCATAAATTGATTTTATGGGCGAAGGGCGAAATTTTAACTGGGTTTCAGATTTTATTTCAAATACTCAGACACATGAAAATGTGTAACATCAGGTACATGTACACGAATTCATATATTAAATTATGACAGGATGGACAGGCGCATGCATGTATATGAAGATACTGATATATATATATATATATATATATATATACTGGGTAAAAGTTTCTGGTATACAGTAAATAAAAGTTTCTGGTATACAGTAAATACAGTTGTTAAATTAACTGTAATATTCATATACACCATCAAATATAAACTGTGTAATTACAGTTAACCCTGACCTGGATTATGTAGCATTGATTGATGTACCATTACAGGTGCCTGCTGAGGAGTCCAACCAGAACCTTGGAGTTCTACGGGTTACAGATACAACAGTATCATTCCCTAACTTCAAGGTTATTATTTCAAGGTCATTTCACTTCTGCTCTTGCGTGTTTGGAATACCTCGATTCTTGAAGATGGAATCGTAGCTAACTGTACATGTAAGAGCATGGGAGGAAAACGGGAAACAAAGGAATTACAGAAAAGAAAAGAAATAGGTCAACATCGACTTTCATTGACCTGTTTTCTATATAAATTCTTTCACTTATAAAAAGATGGTCTTTATCAAAATCTACCAATACTATTGAATTACCTAGGGCATAGGAAGACTGAGGGCATAGCTTTAGTATGTATAGTGCATGTATGAACTTTGACCCACAGAAGATGATAAAAGTATATGTAACATAATTGTGTGACGGGCAGATGTTTACTTGAGCCATCAATGTATCAACACCACTGATGACTATAAATGTATGACATGTAACTCTTGTTTGTGTTTCATTGAATTATTTGACCTTGGTATGTACCATTACTGTAGGAAATATCAGCCTCCTCCTCTGTTCACTCTGGTGCTGCCACCTTAAAGGTGACCCAGTGACCTTCACCAGTTCTCCACTTGCTGATGGTTTCCATGGCAGCCGCTCTTCCTGCTCTGTCTCTGTTCTGCGCGCAGGTCTTCTTTCCTTTTAACTCTTACTTGCTTTTTAATTTTGAAATGCAGTAGCATTGTGTTTCTGCATCGTGAAGTCACCATGTTAATTTCCTCTTTCATATTGAAATCAAATTTCGTGGCAAATTTTTCACTTCTATGTTATCCTACGGGTGAGATGCTGGCCTTTAATCATACCAAGGGAAAAAGTGTGGATGGTAATCACTCCACAGAAAGCCAGAAATTAATACGATCGTATCGATGACCTGGATAACAAGCAGTTCTGTTCTATGTTTACCACGAGTGCCAGTCCACATCAGTGTAGCTCACTAACAGACATAGTTGGCACCCATCTTTATGGCTGGTATATGGTGGTCAGTATTAATGGTGCATGGTCACTATAAATCATGCCAGGAAACATTGCTGACCAGGTCAGTGAGGTTGTTAGTATCTTACAGGGGTACTGATAAGACCGCCAAAAAAACAGTGAGTGTGGGGTAAAAAATACATGTCCAACGGTACTCATCAGTTCAACCTACCAGCTGACTGTTGAAATGTTTTTAACTATTTTTTGGATTAAAAACTTTGACAGTATTGCGTATACTGTTAAAGTTGTTTGTTTGGATGTTTAGAGGAGCATGTGACTGATTGACTGTAGTCACCGTGCGGATAGGGGAGGTATACCTCTACATAGTGCTAGCCCATCACTTGATGTCGATCTTGATGTCTTGATGTCTTGATGGCGAAGTGTGACTGGCATTAGTGGTGTGATACCTCTCACAGTTACTCCGTCCTTAGATAGAGAGCCTGCTGACAAATGGATACAAATTACTGCGGAGGGTATAGTAAAGGTAGCGTAGGGTATAGTAAAGGTAGCGTTTATTAGATATGATTGATACCTGTTGACCAGTGCCTGCTGGATAATTATTTTTCTGATGTGATCTGGCCTTCCCCAAGTCTCCCAGTCTGTTGTAGAATATTAACAACATTTCCTATAGATTAGGCAATATCTCCCCAATCCTGACGTTCTAAAGTTTTGTCTTAAGCTGCATTTTTGCACCAGACTTGACTGTCCTTTTCAATGTTTATACAACATTAGATACAATGATTATCTAACCTCTACAATTATAACACAGATTTTAGATATAATGGTTATAAATATAAAGTGGTTTTTTTTTTCTCAAAAGAAAAAAAATAGAAATAAATTTTCCAACTTATTTCAATCACCCTTGTTGGGCCAGAAGAAGGCAGAAGGGGTCGTAATGTGGGAGGGAATGGGAGTACCCTGAGAGAAAACCCACGTGGTCGGGCAGGTGACCCAATACCTTTTTATGTCCGATAGGGGAATCAAACCGCAGCCGCCATGAACGGCAAGTGCGCTTATATATATCCACTGTGCCACCCGACCACCCTTACCTGACCAAATTTGTCAATAATAACCAAGGTATATAGAAAAAGGTTCCCAGAATCTGATAAGGCTGCTGCATGATTATAATGAGAACATTGTTATGTCAAGACATTTAATTCCAAAATTTAATCTAGAATTCTGTCACTTTGTTAAGAAGATATATTGATCTACAATGTCACGGAATTTATTAATAAGTTCAAGGTCACATGACCGACCTTCTGTTTGTTTATCTGTTGTAACTATTTTCCGGCCAGAAGAAGCCTGTGTGGTCCAATAGGGACTATAGTGCCTTGTAAAGTGGTGTGGGCCGAGTCCTGTCAGAAAACTAATCAAATTACGTAAATGGATCGGTTAATTAATTCATTCGATGAAAAAAATGATAAAAGGTTGGAAATAGCATGGAGATGTAAAAGATATAAAAAAAAGTATTGAAAATCATGTTTGACAGCCAGCAAAATCAGATGAGATTTTATTTCACAGATCATTTCAGCCATCAGGGAGGTGGTTTTATGTTACGGTGTGACAATATCACCCTCGGAACTAAAGCTAGCATTGTTTTACCGAACAGCCATATCATTCTTTCAATCATAGAAGGTAGACTTAACACTATTTTCAATGCATCAGTTGGTATTTTCATTATATGTCTAAAGCAAGAAATAAGTTTGTGTTAGAGCCCTTTCTGATACATCTACTTTTTCAAACAATTTGGCAGATTTTATTTTTTGAAGAAAATGTAAAAATAAACAGTTACACGTCATAGAAGATTGACAAGGATCTAAAAGATATTATTGAGACAGGATTCAGAATCTGTACAACTGTTATCTGATATTCTAAGTGGTGTCCATTCAATGTGATTTCCATCTTGATAGGACCCTCGCTAGGAGACAGCTGATGCTGATACTGTGTAAAGGGAAAATGTCGCCTAGTCAAACATTCTCCATTTGCAGATAAAATCCATGTTCACTTGGTGTTAGCTTTGGCATTTACGTGTTATTACTATAAATTGTAAGTTATGTACTAGTATTTGCTGACATCATAAATTCATCCTAATTAGGGATGCAGAAAATGGCCGAAAGTAAAAAATGCGGCAAAAATGTCCTGGTATACAGTACTAAAACAGTCTTTTTCTAACTTCAACAGGACTTCATCCAAATTTCTAGTGGTACTTCATTGGTTAGACGAGGTCTGGTTCATGTTATGTGAGCTTGAAAATTACAAAATATTAGTGAAAAGTCAACAGGGACCATGCTGCTGAACAGGTGTGACTAGCTTTCATTAGCTACCTGTAAGGTGCGTTTACAGGTGTGACCACCTTTCATTAGCTACCTGTAAGGTTAAAAGGTGGGCGTGTGTTGTGTGTTGATTTTGACAGAAACAATCAGCAGTGATCAGCACCAAGTTCCCTTACATACACCGCTGCTCTCCGCGGCTTCCTTGACTGGCTTCGTAAACTCCTCGCATGTAAAGATCACATTGGAGGGGCCAGGCCTGTATACACATATACACCAAGCACATTAATTTCTCGTCAAATCTATTTAAATGGCACCATTGAAGCACTCGAGTCTGGCGATTTCATTAACTAAAACCAGTCATAAGTCAGTGAGTTCCTACAGTTGTTCACACTGTGACTGCCTTGTGTTTTAACTACTACAAGTGTAGCTCTGTATAGACTGTGACCCAGGCCTGAGCACATCTGACACGATTCTGGTTTATTGGGCTTGATTGAGACCCTGAAATCAGACACTGCATGGGATTGGAAAATGATTGATAGAACGACAAAGAAGTCAGGCGAATAAAGAACGTTTTTTTCAAGGTGTTACCTTATCTCGTACAGGCTGTCTGACATGGAATTGTCTGTTGTTTGTTTGACCCCCTAACCTGTCTGTATTTCAGGATTAGGATATTTAGTGTTTGTTCAGGTGCACCATATTCAAATCGTCATTAGTGCAGGTAATAAACATGTGACATGCAGACCAGCGGGAGCAGGAGTATCTCCGTGGCATGCTGATCAGCAGTTCTACACATTACGGAATTAACGAAGGTACACAATCTTTTTTCCTGCTTTGAAATACACATCCTGAATCAGCATGACTTCGGGTTGGAAGTTAATGGATCGGGTTAAACGTTAACAAAATGGTGTTGGGATCCATCACGGGCAATGCATTATAGAAAGGTTTTGTTTGTAATTCTGCTCATAGAACCTGAGGCAGAGGGCCTGATAGGAGAACTTCTCTGATCCCTGGCTCAACCTATCACAGTATATGTAATTGGTACAATGATATAGAGAGCAGGAAGCTTCAATCCTACAGAATTAAGATAATACTTGTTTATATTGCTCAATGAAGACATCCTTTGTTGGATTAGACAGGGAGGGGCTTGTCAGTGGAAAATCTGGTGCTGAAAACGAAAGAAATTTTAGAAGGTTTGGTCTGTCAAAATTGACAGATTATTCGGGAAGCTGTGTAAGTTTTCAATTAATCTTCAAAGTCAAAAAGAGTTGAAATATAAATCATGTTTTCATTTCAGCAAATATTTACAGATTGGTGTCCCCAGTAGGGAGTTAGTGTTGGCGTGGTTTGTCAGTGCTGGCTTGTGTGGCGTGAGTTGATAGACATCGTTCTTGTTGTGTTTGGAGACAGCAAAATCATCACTGTCACAAAACACACACCGCTCTGTATTGAGCTGCAAATATCTGTTTTAATCAAAACAAGTTTACAGAGATTTTTATGTAATCACAGATCAAAGAGTTCAACAGGAAAGTACATATGTATATACCATATTTACTGTTGTCATGGTTACTGTTAGTAGAGTTAGTTACAGTTGTGTACATGAACGAAAGATGCAGCTACGGGTATCATACTCACAATGACTGAATGGTTGTAACATATTTACACACAATGGCTGAATGGTTGTAACATATTTACACACAATGACTGAATGGTTCACATATTTACACACAATGACTAAATGGTTGTAACATATTTACACACAATGACTGAATGGTTGTAACATATTTACACCCAATGACTGAATGGTTGTAACATAATTACACACAATGACTTAATGGTTGTAACATATTTACACACAATGACTAAATGGTTGTAACATATTTACACACAATGACTGAATGGTTGTAACATATTTACACGCAATGCCTGAATGGTTGTAACATATTTACACACAATGACTGACTGGTTGTAACATATTTACACACACTGACTAAATGGTTGTAACATATTTACACACAATGACTGAATGGTTCACATATTTACACACAATGACTAAATGGTTGTAACATATTTACGCACAATGACTGAATGGTTGTAGCATATTTACACACAATGACTGCATGGTTGTAACATATTTACACCCAATGACTTAATGGTTGTAACATATTTACACACAATGACTAAATGGTCGTAGCATATTTACACACAATGACTGAATGGTTGTAACATATTTACACCCAATGACTGAATGGTTGTAACATAATTACACACAATGACTGAATGGTTGTAACATATTTACACACAATGACTGAATGGTTGTAACATATTTACACACAACGACTGAATGGTTGTAACATATTTACACACAATCACTGAATGGTTGTAACATATTTACACACAACGACTGAATGGTTGTAACATATTTACACACAACGACTGAATGGTTGTAACATATTTACACACAACGACTGAATGGTTGTAACATATTTACACACAACGACTGAATGGTTGTAACATATTTACACACTCTGACTGAATGGTTGTAACATATTTACACACAATCACTGAATGGTTGTAACATATTTACTCACACTGACTGAATGGTTGTAACATATTTACACACAATCACTGAATGGTTGTAACATATTTACACACACTGACTGAATGGTTGTAGCATATTTACACACAATGACTAAATGGTTGTTACATATTTAGACACAATGACTAAATGGTTGTAACATATTTACACACAATGACTAAATGGTTGTAACATATTTACACACAATGACTAAATGGTTGTAACATATTTACACACAATGACTAAATGGTTGTAACATATTTACACACAATGACTGAATGGTTGTAACATATTTACACACAATGACTGAATGGTTGTAACATATTTACACACACTGACTGAATGGTTGTAACATATTTACACACAATTACTAAATGGTTGTAACATATTTACACACAATGCTTTGTTGTCCTCAACATGTTGGGTTTGCTGTTGGGTTTCAAACTATCACAAGGTTTTCGAGTTCTCTGTCCTTAGATAGCCTGCAGAGAAGAGTAATAGCTTATTGTTTTCAAGAGACCAAGACAGGTAAATTAAAACAATATGATGGGTGTACTATAAGCTTAAAGGTGGGATGTAAGGATAAAGGTGGGTATAGGGTTAAACGTGGGATAGAGGGTTAAAGGTGGGATAGAAGGTTAAAGGTGGGTATAGGGTTAAAGGTGAGATATAAGGTTAAGTTGGGATGTAAAGTTAAAGGTGAGATATAAGGTTAAAGGTGGGATATAAGGTTAAAGGTGGGATATAAGGTTAAAGGTGGGATATAAGGTTAAGTTGGGATGTAAAGTAAAGGGTGAGATATAAGGTTAAAGGTAGGATATAAGGTTAAAGGTGGGATATAAGGTTAAAGGTGGGATATAAGGTTAAAGGTGGGATATAAGGTTAAGTTGGGATATAAGGTTAAAGGTGAGATGTAAGGTTAATGGTGGGATACAAGGTTAAAGGTGGGATATAAGGTTTAGTTGGGATGTAAAGTTAAAGGTGGGATATAAGGTTAAAGGTGAGATATAAGGTTAAAGATGGGATATAAGGTTAAGTTGGGATGTAAAGTTAAAGGTGAGATATAAGGTTAAAGGTGGGATATAAGGTTAAGTTGGGATGTAAAGTTAAAGGTGAGATATAAGGTTAAGTTGGGATGTAAAGTTAAGGGTGAGATATAAGGTTAAAGGTGGGATATAAGGTTAAGTTGGGATATAAGGTTAAAGGTGAGATGTAAGGTTAAAGGTGAGATATAAGGTTAAAGGTGGGATATAAGATTAAAGGTTAGATATAAGGTTAAAGGTGGGATATAAGGTTAAAGGTGAAAACAAGGTTAAAGGTGACATGTAAAGTTCAAGGTAAAAAAATTCAAAGATGGGATTTAGGGTTAAAGATTAGATAAAGGTCAAAGGTGGGATATAAGGTTAAAGGTAAGATAAAGGTCAAGAGAAGGTAAAGGCTAGGATAAAAAAAGTTAAAATACAAGGAATGCTGTCTTTAGAAGATGTTTGCCATGCCAGTCCTGTGATCTGTGTTCATACTTCATCCTGTAACAGCCAATCAAAATCACTCCTTTCACTGACAGGACTATTGGCAAATCAATTTGTTTTCAGATTTGGTAATTTAGTCATCAACCCAATACTTAGATATTGTGGGTCAAGTTCATTATGTTTGGTTTGTTAGACACAAAGATTGGGAAGTTCTACCAGTAGGAGACAAAGACTATGAATGTATAGCAGGATATAAGATAATAAGCATGTATATATATATCAAGCTGTATGGCTGTGCATTGTGACACAGAGCAGCCCTAAGACAGAAGCTGTGTATACCAGTAAGTAAGGATGGTTTACACATTTACAACCATCTGATAGGGCGTTATCTTTTCCTGTCTTCACCTTCTGTATGTTGTACATGTGGAGGTGACTAAAACACCATCAAGGTCGAGGCTGGGTGTGGCAGGGTTTCACCTTGTCTTATTCCATAATCAGGTATTTTTATAGTGAAATGTTAGAAAAAATACCTCAATAAATGCTTGTGAAAATTACGCACTGGGGATGTTCTGTGTAGAAGTGCTTAATTCATTAGTTTTAGTTTGTCTGAATTCTGACGGAGTTTTTCATGCCAGCTACACCAACAAAGCAGTATACAAAAAAAAACAGTTGTCTGTATTTTGTGATAAACTGGATATAATAAAACAATTTGGTTTTTACGTCCTAAAGCTCTCTGCCAAATCCTGTTTTTATTAAGTCTTTCTTGCATGAAAAAGATTATAAAAGTCTTCGACTTACATTAACACTGTCAAATACAAACAGATCCTTCTTTTGAGAACAAATAACATAAATGATTATAAAGCTCACAGCTGGAGTGCAGATCGTGGCAGGCCATTACAATACTCAGCACTTTCTCCTTTGAAGCTGCACATCTGTAGCGTGTTCCGTTACAATCACAGAACAATAACAGTGTTTAAATGCTGTGAGTGACCGCCATTCTGACGGGGTGGTCTACCCCCTCGTAACCTCCCTTTCAGATCGTGTTTATTTATCTTTTGTGTTAATTTACAAGAAATTAAATGCATTTAAAAGTGTAATCTTGTAATTCAAGGTTGGGTGACTTCGATTTTTCTGTCAATGCATATATGTATGAAGTGGTGTTCCCCTTCTCATTCTGTTGAGATTAAATTCGAATGCGGCGTTTTGTATTAACCGTTGATTCTCCGCTATGTGGTCGGGCACACACAATACCACTGGATGCTTTCTCATATATTTTGTTTCCTGTCACACGCAGCACTTAATAAATGTTTACAAACGCTTCTGGTGAATCAGGATTTGTAAAATCTTATTGTAAATTTATGGCTACTACAGTAGTATCGGTGATATACCATTATATTGATGGCATGAAGGAAATCTTGATCCGGTGAAGTTATCTCCCTTGATGGTGATAATTACTTCCCTTGGTGGGCCGTTAAACCTTGTTTTACTGTACATTTAATGGATATATTCTCTCTTTATTGGTCGAGACCATGTAATGGTTATAGTTGTGTTTAACAGATGCAATTTACAAACAGCAGTGATAGAGTGTTTTCCTCAAAGTAAAGCATGATCTCACCATTATGGGGACTTAACCAGTACATCTAGGCCTGTCTTGTAATGTTGATGTAGAGGCTGGGGAAGTCTGATTGAGGAATTCACTACGGTACAAGTTTTTTACCACATAAAACCAGGTATGGGCAAGCTTATCATGTCAGCCTGGATTAAG